AGGGTGTTCAGACTGACGGACCACGATTTCCTCGAGCAAGACGCGCGCGCCGCACCTATAAGGGAGAACATTTGTAACGGTGAGTACTACGCCTGTAACAGTTCCTGTAGGCGTCCTGCCCATACCTTCCATTCAAAGTCACTGATGACGTACCACACAGGATTTGCAAATGAATATAATGATAATTTCTTGCACTCACTAGTCTATGTCCTATCGGGCATACACTTTCCTAGATGTGGCACTGCTCAGGCACTGCCAGGCTGATGAAAGATAGAATGCAACTATGTCGACGTAACTTTCTACCAATATTGATATATGACCTAGATATCAAATAGACTCACATAGAACAGATTTGATTTGGTCTTAAGATTTGACAAGATGTTCATTTCTCTACTTTCCATTTCAGCGATCCAATGTCCGACTCTGACGGCCCCGGCTAACGGAGCGCTCAGTACCACAGATACCGCCATCCGGACCGTGGTCACGACCACCTGTAACGCGGGATACCAACTGAGCGGCGCTGCTAGTACGACCTGCCAAGCTGGCGGAACATGGAGTAATCCCGTTCCGACATGCACACGTAAGATGATCGACTTTTGACTCATCAATATTCACAAAACAACGCAATCAATTAGCCTTTACACACCTATACTATATGCATGCTATATAGCGGTGTAAACATGAGAAGTGAGGCCACTTTGAACGTTAAAACATTCGCAAACGTCTACTAATGACCATCGTACTAGATATATTGGTACCAGTATACAGTACCCAAAGGGCCCTTTGTTGTTGATTACTAGATGTATCATATCCCACTGTGCAAAACGCCTATATGAGATATTGTGAAGTAGAATGAGCCTAATTTTTACTTCCCATTACAGCGGTCCAATGCGCGGGTAGGAATGCTCCAGCTAACGGAGCGGTGAGTCCTACCGGACCGGTCTCCTACCCGAACGGGGTCACCTTCACCTGTAACACGGGATACACACTGAACGGCCAAGCTACTCCGACGTGCCAAGCTGACACAACGTGGAGTAACCCTGTTCCAACATGCCAAGGTAAGACCACTTGCAAGTTGATGATGCTACCACATTCAGTATTTCGTCGGGCACTACCGGTACTACGTGCTAAGTGCCGAACTGACAGAACCTGGAGTACGTCCTGTTTCAAGCTGCGATCGTAAGATGCGATCGTAAGCTGACTTCTAACAAATGGATATTTACAACAAAAGTAATTCATACACTTAGACATAAATAGATTAGATTGCAAAATAGTAAGCAATACTTTGGTATGTGTAGTTCACAGAATGGCCTGTTGTGCAGGGTTCAGTAGCGAAATGTCCCTTAGGTAGATGTACATATCCCACACTGCACTATCTTGTCTTGACAGAGAATTTTTGTTCACTTCCCATTACAGCGGTCCAATGTCCGGCTCGGGCGGCCCCAGCTAACGGAGCGGTGAGTCCTACCGGAGCGGTCTCCTACCCGAACTCGGCCACCTTCACCTGTAACTCGGGATACACACTGAACGGCGTTGCTACTCCGACGTGCCAAGCTGACGGAACATGGAGTAGTCCTGTTCCAACATGCCAAGGTAATGCTTAGGTCACATTTGAAACGGCGCCCGTTCGGCATGTCCTCGGCGTAGACGCCGGCCGGCGTCATGACGCCGAGCGTGCGCCGTACTGTCAGGGTCACAATTAAATGTTCCTTTACGGCTCCCTGTCGGGGCCTGCTTGTGCTCCGGCCGGCGGCTCTCATTAATTAATATTCATAAACTTTTGCGGCCGGTTTCTGTCAGGGACCCGTCCGGTGCCCGGTCAGTCGCCCGTCTTGACCCGTGCGGCGTGTGGTAGGATGCCGACCGGCTCTAACAGTTCGGTCGGGCAGCTGTCAGGTCCCTGGCGGGATCCCGACGGACTCCTATCGTGTTTTTGAGCAGGTACATATATAAGCGCTGCACTGCCTGCTACCGTTCACTTCAAGTAAAGAGTACACGTGAAGTAAAGAGTAGACTGAAGTTGGCTATGCAGCGTTCAGTGCAACCTGCAAACAACTTACAAGCCCGTCTGAGATTGAGATTGGTGACAACCTACATGTAGGTCTTCTGGCATTGGTAGCTGAAGAAGAGAGGCAGGCAGAACTGGTGCGTCGCAAAAGTAACCGAGGGCCTACTTTCGAAAGTACTTCAACAGGGACGCAGGAAGTACTTCAGCAGTGACGCAGGAAGTGTGCCGTGGCAGCTCCTTGCTATTGAGCAATAAAACCACTGAATATCGTTACTTCTGTTGAAATTTGGACTGAAAAAAAATGCCAATAACTTCTGATTCCATTTTATTACGAAGGCATATGATGTAACAAGAGATCAGACACATTCTATTCCTGTTATGATCTGTTTTATGAAGTTGGCAAGAG